GTTATTATTAAATTATAACTTATATATATATTATTATTTATATATATATATATATATATACAGTTGTACCCCACTTAACGCGGTCAATTGAACCCAGAGGGTCCCGCGTTAAGTGAAATCCGCGTTAAGTGAACAACGGAACATATGGGATTAATTCCAATAGAAACCGGCCCGACCCCCAAACTCCACTTTTTGAAGGCACATACCTATGTTGTAGTAAAAATAACATCTTAATTTTATGATGGTACATGCACATAATTAATACTTAAGAGAAATAGAGAAATACAGTCGCCAAGTTAATGTCCATTCAAATAATGGACTCAACTCCCTCCCCCTCTCACACTACACAGCCGGCTAACAGATGGTCGGTCGGTCCCTCCCTCCCCCCCCACCCCCCACCAACCGTCCCAAGGAGATGTGTGGGATAACCTCAAACTAAAGTTAGGAAAATATAATTGACATTGCTGGATTCCTTGTAAGACCAGGAATATTTTGAATATAAATGTCATATATTTTGCACAAAAGATAACATAGTTACCTAGAGAAAAATTTTTATCTAAAAATTGTAAGTTTAAAGCAAAATATATGATGTTTATATTCAAAATGATCACCAAATTATAAGAATTCCAGCAATGTAAATTATATTCTGACCGGGTAATTTGTATGAATTTTATGAGCTAAAACAAATATCTTCAGTTAATAAAAAAAAAATAATCTTCACGACACTATCTGTCAATCAAAGTACCCCACCTTGCCTCCCCCCCTCTTCCAACCGCGCGGTCAGTCCCAACCCTCCCCCCCACCCCCCACCAATCCTCCCTTCCAGAGTTTTTAACATTTAGTATTAAATAATACCTCAGATTAAAGTTAGGATAATATAATTGACATTGCTGGATTCCTTGTAAGACCAGGAATATTTTGAATATAAATGTCATATATTTTGCACAAAAGATACCATAGTTACCTAGAGAAAAATTTTTATCTAAAAATTGTAAGTTTAAAGCAAAATCTATGATGTTTATATTCAAAATGATCACCAAATTATAAGAATTCCAGCAATGTAAATTATATTCTGACCGGGTAATTTGTATGAATTTTATGAGCTAAAACAAATATCTTCAGTTAATAAAAAAAAAAATAATTCTTCACAGGGTAACAGATGGTCGGTCGGTCCCTCCCTCCCCCCCACCCCCCACCAACCGTCCCAAGGAGATGTGTGGGATAACCACTAAATTTTAATAAATAATACCTCAAACTAAAGTTAGGATAATATAATTGACATTGCTGGATTCCTTGTAAGACCAGGAATATTTTGAATATAAATGTCATATATTTTGGACAAAAGATACCATAGTTACCTAGAGAAAAAATTTTATCTAAAAATTGTAAGTTTAAAGCAAAATATATGATGTTTATATTCAAAATGATCACCAAATTATAAGAATTCCAGCAATGTAAATTATATTCTGGCCTGGTAATTTGTATGAATTTTATGAGCTAAAACAGGCAGTCAGGCAGGGTGGCGGGTGGGGCAAATCTAAAAATAGCGTCTCGGACACTCACCGCGTATATGTGGAAAAAATCCGCGTTAAGTGAAAGTTCAGCTTTGGCAAGGCACTGCGTATATGCGAAAACGCGTTAAGTGAAACCGCGTTAGGCGGGGTAAAACTGTAGATATATATATATATATATATATATATATATATATATATATATATATATATATATATATATATATATATATATATATATATATATATATATATATATATATATATATATATATATATATATCTATCTATCTATCTATCTATATCTATATATATATAAAATTTGTCACCTCTATTAAAATACTTACTATAATGATAAGAACATCTGTGGAAAGATGAACAAAATCAACCAGTGAGGCAATTTGACCAAGGATAGCTGACAGTTTCCACAAATCCATCAGAGGCTTATTTCTAGTAAGGTCCTCTAAGAATCATCTGTAAACCTAAGTAAATATTGAAGCATGTCTAAATTACCTTTCCATACCAAACCTATTAAATCTAAAAAACAAACGTATTCTAAAATAATATACCTCCATCCTGGGATAGGTAAATGTGGTTATTTTATCTCTTCTACAACAAATCATATACAGTAGTACCCCGCTTAACGCGGTCATTTGAACCCACAGGGTACCGCGTTAAGTGAAAACCGCGTTAAGTGAAAACCGCGTTAAGTGAACAACAGAACATATGGGATTAATTCCAATAGAGACTGGCCCGACCCCCAAACTCCACTTTTTGACGACACACAACTATGTTGTAGTAAAAATTTTATCTTAACTTTATGATGGTATGCACACACAATAAATAATTAAGAGAAATATCAATAATATTAGGTTTTTTAACACTTGCATTAGTAGAAAAGATGGCTGGGCACACGGGGATGGGGGGTTGGTTCCGAGGCAGAGGGCAGATTATTGGCCCTCACCTGTATCACTTGTATCAATTGTATCACTATCCACCACAGAGGCTTGCAGGGCCTCTTTGTCAAACCCCTCAAAGGCCATATAAGTCCATATCCTCACTATAATTATCACTATCACTGACTTGGGCCGGCTGTGGTGGGTGGCGGGTGAAGAACTCGGTAATGTTTTGATGACTGGGCGACCTTGTGCGCATCGTGCCCGCGCCGCTTCCCGCGTATATGATGAAAAATTCCGCGTTAAGTGAAAGTTCAGCTCTGGCGAGGCACCGCGTATATGATAAAACGCGTTAAGTGAAACCGCGTTAGGCGGGGTAATACTGTACTGTACAAGATAATTTTAAAACGGCTAAAATGGTTAAGGTATTAAGAAAATTTACCTTTACTCCACCTGGTTTTGGATATTCTTGAGGTAAGATAGACTTCATTTATATAAATTCTTTGTAAAGCTACTTGGAGAGCTGCCATCAGGTACCTGTGACAAGCATGGAAAAGATCATACTTTTGTTTGATATTACTGGATGTTATTTCTATACCTGTACTGTATTATGTACTGCAGGCGAGGATAATAATCTTTACTTATTTCTTTGTACAGTACCTGATCACAGCGGACTCATCATGGCAATTGCATTGCCACCAGTGGTGACGGGCATCTCGCCCATAGAGGGAGTTCCTGGGACCAAGGTCACAATTCGGGGTGAAAATTTTGGTAACCGTCCTGAAGATCTGATTGGTAAGTGTTAATGTTATTTTACTTAAAATACAATTATTTTATATCCTATGTCCTCTCGGTAAGTGACCAGTGATGTTTGAGTAAATGGAGTTGAGGAAGAATATGAACAGTTATACTTAATGAGAGGATCAGAAAACATGCAAAGGATGCAAAAGTGACAGAACACTGCCTAGGGTTTGTAGAACTTAAAATGAGTCTGAGTTGGTCTTATAAGACTACACTACCAAGCAGTTTGTTGTGAACAAGAACCATTAATAGTTTTGCAAGTTGGGATGTCTATATCCTACGGATACCTTCCGTTTTGCCTGAGCTTGTTTTTTTAGTCTCAGATATGTTACCTGTTCTTATGGTGACTCTCGGCTCTCCTAAAGGCATTCACTTCTTTCATATTTCACAGATGTTTAGTAGCAAGTTTTAGATCTCATCGATCAGAAGATGGAATTTGTTGTGTTTTTAACATTCCTAAAAGGGTATGGGAGGAGAAATTGAGGTTTATCTAAACAATATACTGTACAGTACCCTACATTAGCCTGTATCTTGCGGTTTCTTACAAAATAAAATGTTACTCCTTATTTGAAATGATGCCTTTTCTGGGTATCTGAACAACATCCACAGCATTAAGGACGGCTATTGAAATACAGTACTGATAAAGTTATATGACTGAGTTATGAATTATCCGGTAGGTAAGCTAATAGAAAAGGAAAGCTAATTTAACTCTTTCACTATGGAATGCCATTTTTTAAATCTTATTTAGCTAATGCCAGACAATTTTTTTCAGCTCAGAGGTGACTCCATACACAAGGGGTTAGTAGACTGTCTCCACAACCCCTTCACTATGGGAAAGCCACTTTGCATATTTGATTTGGCTGATGCCAGACAATTTTATTCAGCTCATGGGCAAGCTTGTACACAAAGGGTTAGGCACAGTAGTTTGAATAGTGATAATGTTTTAAATGTAAAAGAGGTGTTGAAGGATTCAAGTTTAACCCAATTTATTAAGATGTAATTTGACAATCTTGTTCAGTCATCCAGAGCTTAAACATTTCCAACACACTTTTACCTGAATATATATTAAAAAAAATCTTTGATTTTGTGGTACAGCACAGTCCAGTACTGTATATGCTTTAAAATTTATGAAATAAGTATAACAAGGCTGAATTTTGGTTGTAGGTTTGACAATATGTGGGGTAGACTGCCTCATGACAGCAGAATGGAAGACAAGTAACAAGATCATAGCAAGGAGTGGGGCAGGCATTGGAAAAGGAGACATTATTGTTACCACAGTTCAAGGATCTCGAGGAACCTCTACTGTCCAGTTCAAAGGTAAGAAAGGCGATAGTTTATTATTATTTGGAGAGATCTTATGATGAATATTAAATTGTCATACACTTATTACAGGTAGTTCTGCTATAACGCGATAATTGTGTTCTTGTAAAATATCGTGTTATAGAAAATCGCGTAATAGAAATAACAGGGCTTATGGAGAAAATAGGGTTAGGTGCAGATTACTCGAAATCGAAAAAATTTAGTAGTTAGCCTAACACAAAGGATAGCACAGTCTAAATAAATGTTACATTCATATCTAATTATGAAATCATACAGTAAATGTAACACTTTACCTTGCAAAAATATGAATGTAACTTGATGGGGGAGAAGGGTGATTTTGAGGTTGATAAAATCGAGCTTCTCTTCAAGTGTTATATCCTTTCTTTTACGATCATCACCGGGAATTCTATCACCAGAACGCTTCTTGTTGATATTCTTCTTTACCATATTCACAGTTAATACCACAAAATTGGAGAAATAGTAAGCAAAAATCGCGTTATAGCAAACAAGTGTTCGCGTTATACAAATATCGTTCCTAATTCATAAATCGCGTTGGAGCAAATTTGCGTTATCAAAACACGCGTTATAGCAGAACTCACTGTACTTAGAAACTGTCCAGTGAAGCAAGTATTAACAAGGAATGCTTTTTCAGATAGAGAGATAAGTTAGTGACATAAATGATTGATTAGATTAAAAGTTACTTCTCATGGACTTGTAAATGGAATTGCAAAATGAATGAATTTGTATATTGTATATACTGTACAGGGTATTTGAAAATTTAATGCTTTCTGTATATTGTGGTTCAATTAGAGTTATTGCTTGTTAGAACAACTTTATGATCCTGTACTGTATATAAATTTCATCAATATAGAGGCAAAGGAGTCTGTGTTGATGAAGAAGACAGTAATTTTTCCCAAATATAAGTTATAGTGAAAAGATAATTAACAGCTGTTCTACAGAAGTATCTCAGAATTCTCTTCACTAGTACTGTAATAGATATTGTGACATGTTCACTTAGTTAGAATATGCTGTACACAAACATTGAAGCACAAAATATATTGAGAATGAAAGATTTATCATGCATTGTCATATGGTCAATTTCTGAAATGCTTGAAAAATGGAACATGTATAATGCGAAGTGTGTACAGTACAGTATGATATACAGTAGAACGTCGATTTAAAACGATTCAATTTAAGATTATTGATTTAAAGCGACCCCCACAATTAAGAACAATGTTTTAATTTAAAGTGAATCTTCCCTATTTTGCGCAAGTCAATCTGGCGCATCATATTTAAAAATTCGCACCTAACGTTTCTCTGGGCACGCTACACTGTCCTAAGGGCAAAGCTGTACTGTATATGTACTCAAAATAATGTACTAAATTATTACTAAAATTTTTGTCTAGTGCAAACTATAGCATGATTATACAGTTGTCCCTCGGTTAACGAACGGTTCGATTAACAAAATTTCGGTTAACTAATTAGCTCCCATAAGGATCTTCAATTCGGTTAACGAATAAAAACTTCGATTAACGAAATCCTTACGACAAACATGTTTTGTTGTGAGCATCAGCTAGTCCGCCAATACAGTCATCGGTTCTATGTTTACATTCGTTTCCAGTGGAGTAAATATCAAGAAGGTTGTGCTCATTAATAGTTTTGCATTTTTTATATTAAAATTATTATTCATTTTAAAATTTAGTTAATATATTGATAATATATGCTGTACAGGGAACTAGTTTTTTGTGCGCCCATCAGCCGCTTGACTCACGCGCCAAAGCGTCGGTTTAACTTTGTTTACAGTGGAGGAAACATCGTATTTGTCGCTCTCTTAAATACAGAGTATTTTGACGTTTTTACATTAAAATTATTGGTCATTCTGAAATTTAGTTTACATATTGATAATATATAGTGCAATACAGTGTTGATTTAAATAAAATAATCTGTAATTACAGCTAGTGAACTTAAAATTTTATTGGTGAAATTACTGCATGAAGCATGGGTCTAAAGAAAGGCGATTTCTCCTCCATCCCCACTTCCTTCTCTTCTCCCTTCTCCTCCATCCCCACTTCTAATTCCCATCATTATCATCAACCAGGAACCTTCTACATATACACCTTAAAGTAAGTGTACTTTACTGCATTTTGTTTTTACTTTGTATGTACTTTTCTGTGAGTTGGAACCAATTACCCAATATCCCATTGAAATAATGGATTCGGTTAACGAACTACTCTGTGGAACGAATTGTGTTTGTTAACCGAGGGACCACTGTATTCAAATTAGTCACTATCATATAAGAATTCCAGCAATGTAAATTATATTCTCCCCGGTCAGTTTTGTGACAGTTTATAAGCAAAAAACATGAACTCAATCTAAAGGACTCTCATTCTTTTTAGTATTTTGTGTTTCTCTCAAGTACCAAACTAAATTATTCCATTGAAACAACACCTTGATTTAGTGCGAATTCGGTTTAAAGCGACCTCTCTTGGAACGTATCTCGTGTTATATCGACGTTCTACTATACCCAACACAGTACAGTACTGTACAGTGCAGTACTATAATGATTTGCTTCTCTTAGTAACAGATGTAACAGTATGCCACAGTATTGGGGAGAACATAATATCTCTACCTTTACCAACTGTGTATCTGTTGAGGTGACTGTTACCATGTATATAACAGTTACTTGTGAAACTGTCATATATGTAACAACCTTCCTGGGTTGTCACCACTTGTAACAATCACTTGTGAAGCACGTTACCTTATATTCTAGACATACTAAAATATAGATCAAAGTTTATTGGATCTTCTGTAGTGAAATCCAATTTGTTCCTTTGTTTGTGTTTATTATAAAAGGTTTCTATGTACTACACTTTCAAAAAGGATTATCACCGTAACTTTTCCTCTGTAGCTATGAGTGTTAAATGAGGGCGGAGGCTATCTTATATAGCTCTGCTAAGTATGTACTGTCGATGATGAGATAGTTGAGTGAGAATGAGTAGGAACCCGTCGAGGGAGAACGCAAATATATCCGACGTCCTCCCTCGAAGGAAGACGGAACCATCCACGATGGCTCTAAATAACGTCTTCCTCTAGTGAGTGATGTCAAACTACTGCCCGCAATAGGTGGCCAGATAGCCGGTTACTTAATGCCTTAACTCAGCACCAAGTGACGTGATTTCCCAGGGCCACACCTTAACATGTGCTCTGAACATGCTACCTTATAGCTAGAGGAAAGTTACTGAGGGTGCTAGAGTATATAAGTCTAATGTAATTAACCCATTTATATACTGTAAATACTTCTGCCTATAAGACAGGGGCTATTACAGTACTCCTCAACCTCACTAGGGATAAGTCACTCAGCCATTTGCTTGAGTGTCAAATTTCTCTTATATTCTCGTGTAATATGTGACAAATTAATTAAAAAAAATCAAATTTGTATGTTAATTATTTACAAAAAAGGTGTAGAGTTATAAGAGAAAGTTTAGAATTTGAAATTGAATTAAAGTTTGCAGATTACAGCTGTTTGGGAATAGACAACATTGGGTGAAGTGATAGTCTGTGTTTGATCTTGATTCTGGCAACATTTCACCATGATGGGAAAAGCTTCTAAAGTGAAAAATGAATTATGATCTTCATACTAAGTGTTTTGACACAGTAGGTTGCCAAAATTCAATTTTATTGTGTAGTATTGTACAGTATCTGTTGTACATACTGTATGTAGCCTCTTTAATTAGGGTACCAGGAAACCATGGGGCCCCTGAAGGAGTCAGCTGTGTGGGTGGATGAAACTATTTTCCTCAACATGGCATTTGGAAGAAAACGTCCTATGTCACCAGCTTCTGTCTTGCAAGATGATCCCCTTGGTCTTTCTGTCGAGGGAAATGAGTGGGTATTTATGAGTTATATATTTGATTTTTGGTTACCTATGCTTATGATGTAATGTAGATTGGTACAGTGTAGTTTTCATAATCACTTTGTCTGCTATAGCTGTAATTTTCATACTTGGTACAGTGGAGTCACATTAATTTGCTGGTTAGGTACCAGAAGACATCGTGAATTATCAAATCACTCATTACAGTTTAATTGATTTAAATGGAAATAATTAGTTTGGTTCCAGAGGCCAAACTGCCTTAATAAACACCAAATATCATACATCCTTGACCACCGAAGGGTCAAGACGTACATGGCGCTCCTCTGGGAGCAGCCAGGTCAACTGTTGAGTTGGCCCATACCAACTCCCTCCCCTGAATCCTCATCCACACTGGAATATCAACAAGTTCTTGCCAGAAGTTACAATTTCATTTAGGAAAGGAATGGAACCAGTGTTGAACAGAGGTGAACAGTGCTTAAGTCATGAGAACAACTCAACAGTAACAGCTGAGTCATACCCAACTTAGCCTTCACACAGTGAGGTCCCAGGTACCCAGTGATAACTGCCCGTGAGACCCAACAACAACCATTGATGTGTTAATCCGTCTACAATAGGAAGGCCTGGGACCACACCTCACTCATATAACACCATCTGTGAGGGAATTACTACCCCACGTGAGGTCCCTCATAACACCATCTGTGAGGGAATTACTACACCACGTGAGGTCCCTCATAACACCATCTGTGAGGGAATTACTACACCACGTGAGGTCCCTCATAACACCATCTGTGAGGGAATTACTACACCACGTGAGGGAATTACTACACCACGTGAGGTCCCTCATAGCACCAACTGTGAGGGAATTACTACACCACGTGAGGTCCCTCATAACACCATCTGTGTGGGAATTACTACACCACGTGAGGTCCCTCATAACACCATCTGTGAGGGAATTACTACACCACTTCAGGTCCTTCATAATACCATCTGTGAGGGAATTACTACACCACGTGAGGTCCCTCATAACACCATCTGTGAGGGAATTATTATGCCACATGAGGTCCCTCATAACACCATCTGTGAGGGAATTACTACACCACGTGAGGTCCCTCATAACACCATCTGTGAGGGAATTATTATGCTACGTCAGGTCCCTCATAATACCATCTGTGAGGGAATTACTACACCACGTGAGGTCCCTCATAACACCAACTGTGAGGGAATTATTATGCCACGTGAGGTCCCTCATAACACCATTTGTGAGGGAATTACTACACCACGTGAGGTCCCTCATAACACCATCTGTGAGGGAATTATTATGCCACGTCAGGTCCCTCATAATACCATCTGTGAGGGAATTACTACACCACGTGAGGTCCCTCATAACACCAACTGTGAGGGAATTATTATGCCACTTGAGGTCCCTCATAACACCATCTGTGAGGGAATTACTACACTACGTGTCTGCTGTTCAACACCTCAGCTCACATGATCTACGTGTGTAAACATTAATCTGTATGTTCACTGTATGTTCCTTCACCTTTCTCTAATGAAGGCTTTTGTTAAACCACCAATGTATGAAATAAGTCATTTATGTCCAATGTATATTTTCAGCCTTCGGGTTGCAGAACTTTTTCAATAAACCGTTAATTATTATTATTATTATTATTATTATTACAGTATTATTATTATTATTACAGTATTATTATTATTATTACAGTATTATTATTATTATTACAGTATTATTATTATTATTTATAATACAGTACATAAAAGAATACACTAATACATAAACAGTAAACCCTCTATAACTCGGAATTTCATATAACTCGGCATGGATATGGTCTTGGAATGTATTATAGTATAACTCGAGAAATGGCAAGATATATAAATCATCTGGGAAAATCTCAGCATATCTGGCCACCTGCATCACCTACCATGCCTCTGTGTCACCTACCATACCTCTGTCACCTAACATGCCTGTGTCACCTACCATACCTGTGTCACCTACCATGCCTCTGTGTCACCTACCATGCCTCTGTGTCACCTACCATGCCTCTGTGTCACCTACCATGCCTCTGTGTCACCTACCATACCTCTGTGTCACCTAACATGCCTGTGTCACCTAACATGCCTGTGTCACCTACCATACCTGTGTACCATGCCTACCTATGCCTCTGTGTCACCATGCCTCTGTGTCATCTACCATGCCTCTGTGTCACCTACCATACCTCTGTGTCACCCTACCATACCTACCATGCCTCTGTGTCACCTACCATACCTCTGTGTCACCTACCATACCTCTGTGTCACCTAACATGCCTGTGTCACCTACATGCCTCTGTGTCACCTACCATACCTACTGTGTCACCTACCATGTCACCTATCATGCCTACTACCATGCCTCTGTGTCACCTACCATGCTCTGTGTCACCTACCATGCCTCTGTGTCACCTATCATGCCTCTGTGTCACCTACCCTCTGTGTCACCCACATGCCTGTGTCACCTACCATACCTCTGTGTCACCTACCATGCCTCTGTGTCACCTACCATGCCTGTGTCACCTACCATGCCTCTGTGTCACCTACCATACCTCTGTGTCACCTACCATACCTCTGTGTCGCCTACCATACCTCTGTGTCGCCTACCATGCCTCTGTGTCACCTACTATGATGCTTCACTCTTCACCTGTAGTGCTGGTGTTACTCTTTTACATTTGGTAATTACTGTACATGTACATATATGGGTCGATAATTTTTTATTGTTCTATTTTTGTAGGAGGAAGGGAGTGCCTCGATAAGTCGGAATTTGGGATAACTCGGCAAGGTCAGAGCCCTTATGTGCCGAGTTATTGGGGGTTTACTGTATATTGTACAAAAAGTAGTTTCATGTTTCATAGGCAGCTCCTTGTCTTCTCATAATCATCCTGCGGGTTATGCCAATAAAACAATATCGAGACAGGCATGCACCAGGCTGGCTGTGACTGCGCTATGTAAACAAAACACCGTGAATTTAATAAACTACCACACAATAAATCATCTGAGGTTGAGTGTGAAATTTTTGATGGGGAAATTTATGACTGTTCTTTACGATAATGCTTTATTAACCTGTACCTAATGAACCCGAGTAATACGGGAATTATGGTGAAGTTGCATAATGTTATATTAAGGAGGTCTTAGTGCTTGGGAACGGAGGATAGGGGAGGGAAGGAAAGAGAAGCTCAGTCCACCACCTCCCATGGACAATTCACTTCCCACTTTTAATTTTTCCTGTTTTATAGTTTTATATTATATTTTCTTTATTTCAAAGTCAAATTAGAGCATTAAAATTATATTTCCACAACTTTTATGGTGTCATGAAATTAAACACTGGCAGCCGGTGCTTAGCCACAAATTATGAATATTTGACTATTCAATTTAACAAGAGGTTATAATAGAGATAAAGTACCTGTGAATTTAAGAACATGAATTTGTTTTCTGCATATTATTGTGGCTCCACTATATTGTATTTTTACCTTGATATCCCCTAAATTTTCTCAAATTAAAATGTCATAAAACAAGGACATGGTACCTCCCTCAAGTGCAGTCTATTTTCCTATAAATTTATTACATTCCAAATTCTAGTGATTATCCCTTTTATCATCTTTTCCAGGTCAATGAATAAACAAATAATTTTTTCTTTTCCACTATTTCTTGCAGTGGGATAAAGGATAATTTTTTTTATGTATTTCGAGCTGCTTTCATGTGTAGTATTTAATTTATTAAATTTATTGTGAACATTGTCCCTTTCCTCCACCAGAATTAAATTGCATATTGTGGCTATGAATTTTTTATAAAATTTATTGCAAAGTTTGAATATAGAATAATGTACAGTGCAGTACCGGTATGTTTTGAAATAATTGTCACTGAGTGTAGTGACAAACTTTTCAGCAAGAGCTTCACATTCTAATTATAGCACATCAATGTTCACTCATTCCAAACAGTGTCTTTACTACTGTATTTTGTGTTAGACAATATGTCACGACGGACGAAAGATTTTAAATAACAACCCTCCCTAGACAAGAGCTTCATATACATATCGTCCACATGACTTTGTCCTCTCATATGGTTAACTAGGTACTGTACTGTAGTTAGTTTTAATCCTCTGCTGACCCCATATCCTGCCTACAGCCTAAAAGTTCTGGAAGAGGATCTAGAGGAGATGTTTCCTGGATGTTCTGGTGATCTTACCTCAACTAAATTCAGCCCAGAGTGGTTCTTGCTTGAGAACCATCTTTCCACATCATTTGAAGACCTGCGTGCTGGGTTGGCTTGTTTGCGACGCAAGGTTGAGGCTCAGAAAGAGGGGCAAATATCATTTTTAAAGGCAAGTTTAATTTTATAAACTGATACTGTAGTTTAATTTGCTACACTCACAGTGCAGTCTACCACTGTCTTAACTGTATGTTTGTTCATCATGTGTTTGTTGAGGCAGACAACATATTTTTCATATTCTCTTATTACAGTACTAAGGGCAAAAAAAGGGTGAATTGTTCTTTTATGTACCTGCCAAATCACCATGTAGAATTGTTAAGTATGGCTGGCTTTTTGAACATGGGAAGGGTTTAGACCAGGGGTTCCCAAACTTTTCTTGAAGAGGGACACGTGCAACATTTCAAATCTGTGAGTTGGCCATGATTTTTTTTTTGTCAGATTTCATGAATTTATTTTGGAAATTGGAAATACAGTACAAAATATTGTTTGCTGAAACCTAGTTGCAGAAAATTATCTTATTCTTTGTATGTTACAGTACTGTACTTCATTTGGCAATACAGGTGTTATATATATGTATGTTTATATGCTGCCTTTATTGATTATATATATATTATATATTATGTTACTTCTTACCAAAGTCAGAAAGTGTTTAGGCTTGTGTAAACACGAAATGTGTTAGGCACGTTGTAACCAACAATGGAGAATAAGCGCCCAGCCAGACCGACCATGTGACTTGTCATACTCCCATTAAATAACGCAAGATACTACAACAGTATCTTTTTCTCTAAGTCTCTTCAGGTGATTAGCATGTCAAAGTGTTTAGTAACTTGATCTTTTGAGTTAATTGTAAATCATGAAAGTAGAGACCTTTTGCTTCCTTTGCTCAAGGTTACATCAAGCAAGAATTGTTAAGTTTTATGGTAGGCTGAGCAGGATTTAGATCATAGTGTCACCATGTTCCCCATATGAATTTCAACCCGGTAGTTTCCTCGAACTTACTGTACATATTTTTGAGGGAGATCTTACCATCTGGAAGTTATAAGTTAATTAGAACATTTATTTTCTGAGGAAACTCCCTGGTATAGTGAGGCATCATAGATGAGATAAAGTGGATACTTTGCAATAGACACCTGTTAGTATTGGAACAGCTTTTGTAACCAAACTTTTCTAGTCTCATAACTTGTTTAGGTTAATCACTGTGCATGATTATTAATGTAATGAAATCCTTTTTCTAGGCTAATGTTGGATCTGTAATAGAACAACTTGACACCTTACAAGAACTCAAGTGTAAATTTGAGAGTGACATTCAGGAATATGGCCGAAATTCTACCCAAATATTAGAAAAGTCCATCATAGGTAAGTGAAATATTAATGTACGGTATGCTTGTTGTGCAGCATGAGCTTGTGTTAAAGTACTGTACTGTCTGTGTAATTTCATGTATGATTTCATGAGGATCATAACCATTAGCAAAAGTGTATCGAATGCAGACATTGCTTAATTTTAAAATGAAATTTTCTCTTAAGTCGTTACATTTCTCATTCTTTAGCATATCCTATTAATGGTCTCATATATAGATTTACATACACAAGATGTGTTGTGTATCCTGTCTGGGTCAAGGACATAGAGCAGGGGTGGGCAACCCTTGGCACGCGTGCCAAACATGGCACGCTAACGGCTTCTTTCCGGCACGCGAGACCCGGGCTCACCTCAATAAAAAAAAACCTTTATATGGCAACCGCATGCCGCCTTGGCGGCAGCGGGTGGAAGGATTGTTTCCCGTTCTGTTGCTAAATAATTAGCCATGCGGCCAGACGTGGTGTGACTCCTTTACCATCATTAATATTTTATATATTTTTTCGAGTTTTGCAGTTTCGCAAAGAATTTATCGGTTAGCAAAATCCAAGTTCAGCTATATGAATGTTTAAATTTAATTAAAAGAAAAACAAATATTACACCAAGATCTGTAATAATTATCTGGCTATCAGAGATTGCATTAAAAACATTATATCAAAAGTCAACCTCTTTTAGATCACTGGGTCATTATATGGCACATTAACTTAAAAGGTGTCTTAACTTTCATGGAAGGGAACATGGCTTTTTTGCTCAGTGTCCCATAAATGTCACATGCATATCCGTTCTCTCTAATCATTGTTCCTCTGGTGGTGAATGTGTGAAGTGTGAACCAGCAAAGTAAACATAGCAAGAGGGAGAATCGCTGACCACGTGCAAGTAAGTTATTATTTACTGTCCAAATTATCAGCTGTCATAGTGTTTGTCATGCTTACCCATAAATTTATCGATGTTCCTAAGACACTGCTGAATCTGTATACTCCTGTGTACAAGGAAAATTTGGCGCAACTTACCTTAGCAAGGCGATTTAAATTTTGCCCCTAAAATGTGACCTTTTTTAAGCTGAATAATGGATCTCACCCCGCTTAAGTGAGTAAAGCAAACCTTTGCTGAAAATTTTATGAACTTGTTGGTAGTGAGTATATTTATGGAGCGTGACATATCTGGCACACTGGTCAGAAGGTCCAAAAGAGGTTAATGAAGCCTGTTCTTCAGCATACTGTATGTGCCATAAACATAAGTTATTATTAAAGCTAAGGGAAATGTATTATTAATATTCAGGATTATGAAGTGTTATCTGCACGTGATCAGATAGCATGCATGCCTTTCTCGTTGATTTGCATTGTGTAGGCATGCCTATAATTGTACCAATTTATTTTATTTTTTATTTTTTTTATTATCCACCAACTGATTTTCATAAACCTTGGTATATGTATGCAGAGAGTGATTGTGAAGAGAATGTCTGAGTCCACAAGTCTCTGTCCACATTTTTACACCCCATGAACCGGTTTTGGTTATATTTACTTTTAACACCAACAGCTATTTCATGTTTTTCGTGTGGTTATATAGTAGAATACATTAATACAAGACTATTTTCTTTTGTAACACTTTTGGCCAAAATGTATAATAACCGAGATATTATTTTTTTATAATAATGCTTCATAAAATAATAACTCAGGTATTGTGCATTTTGGCCAAAGGTGTTATAGAAGAAAATAATCTTGTATTAAGCATTCTACTATAATACTATGTGAATACAGAATATATATACCGTATGTGACCCGGAAATTTTGGTTGGCACGAGAGAAAATTTTGTATCAAAGATTTGGTCGATTTTGGCACACACACTCAAAAAGGTTGCCCACCCCTGACATAGAGGATAGTCTCAAAGAAATATTTTTAGTGTCAAGTTTTGGCATGTAAGAACTTATTTCATCGTAAAATAAAACTGTCCTGAAATTGCAAATTTACCTGTCACTTCATTTATTAGCTTATGTCAGACACTATTGTACTGTATAGAGAAATTGGTATACCATCTGGTGATGGTTGGTGTGAGTAACAGAGACTGTATCTTCAGTTATTTTACAGAGAAAAGTGCTGTTACATACCTTAATCATTTCTGGCCATGCTTATAATTTATAATTACAGCTCCTCCCCAACTTACAACAGGGTTAGGGACCCAAATCCAGGTCGTAAGTCAAAAATACTTAAATAATACATAGAAAATCTAAAATGGGTGTCTCCTTTTCTTCTCAGCACCACAAAACTCTCACTTTTAAGCTTGTCAGCCATTTTAAAGTGAATTACAAACAAAAATTTTGTCAGTACACAGCGCAATCACTGACGTTGGGACTCGAAAATACGTAATTTGACAAAATTTTGGTACGACTGAGGCGGTTGTATGTCTGAGTGGTCGTAAGTCGGGGAGGAGTTGTACTAACAACTAATTTTATAATCAGGAATACGCATCACAAAGGGTTAGCAAAGGACAACAACAACAACAGCAACCCCTATTTGTAAAATATTTACAAAACAAACAAGTGCCACCTAGCATACAACTAAAAGAGACAAAAGCATGGCTTGTATCCATAAAACTTAACAGAATGATATTGCCAATACATACAGTATTTTCAAGGTCATGTTGTGTGTAGTAGAAAAGAAATTTTGTTAAATACTAAAAATATTGTGCTGTAATAAAGCTTATTCAGTACTTAAGGTACAGCATGACCCTTCCTGTACCATCCATTTTGTCCGAGATGGGTATCAAACTTTTATTACAAAATGATGTATGTCATTTTAGTTTACCAGTGGCATGTATTTTGTTTTGTGTTAAGTAAAATATTTGAGCTTGGTAAGTTTTCTAATTTTTTTCTTATTTTTTTAACTCAATAAACTTTGGAAGATTTTTTGTTAATGCAAATCTTCTTCTGTATCAGGAAGTTTATTCTATACTTTTATATAACTTGAACTGCCGTAACTCAAGGGATACCTGTACAGTAGAGTGTAGTGTAATTTTCAGGTATATTTGTAAATTCTCGTTATCATATAGGAGTGAAGTGTTAGACAAAGTGAATTAGGGTTTGCTTAGGTGAATTGGACATATTGAGGAAATGGGAAGTGAAGGGTTGCTAAATTAAATGTAAAATTGAGAGGTAGATGTTAGTAGGGGAAAGGGACAACCAAGAAGGAGATGGAGGGATGGACTGAAATGTGGTTAGGAATGGGGGGGTGGACATCTAGGATGTGTGAATGAGTGGTTTTGGGGGAAGGACATCCTGCTGGTGGGTGATGCTGGCTACAGTAGTATGAATCAGTGGGATATTTAGGGCCTTGTTGTGGAAGGGGGATATCATAGCAGAGCACATCTATTAAAGTGATGAGAATGAATTAACAACAGCATTAAGGAAGAATTTCCGTGTGTTTTTATGCATTTGCTTTTGATTTCAACCACTTTGCATTAAGTGAGAAAAGGCTTGAGATTAAAAAATATCTCAAATATGAGTTCAGGTTCATTAAAGTAGTATGGAATTACATTTTGTGTGTACACCATTTCATACTTTTTTTTACAGAGTGCAAAGAGGAAGCAGATAAGCTCTTTGAGGATGTACTTCAGCGTAAGGATCGAGCAGATGGGACGAGAAATGCCCTGAATGTTCTTCACCGTTTCCGTTTCCTCTTGTACTTACCAGTAAACATAGAAAGGCATATACAGAAAGGAGATTATGATGTTGTTATTAATGATTATGCTCGAGCCAAGAGTCTCTTTGGTGATACACAAGTTCCGGTTAGTGAATACTGAAGTGGTTTTAATTAAAAATTTTAAGTCCATGGAACTTCACAAATGGCCTGTAAAAGTTATTGAATAAAATGACATTTATTTACATTATAGAGCAGTTTGGACTACGGTATATTAGCTGCTGAAGAAATATATCCTTGTAGTGTTTAATGTTACTTATAGTAATAATAGGATGGTCTTACATTGTCCATCCTGTAATGTATGTAACTTTTTGTAACATGCATTGACATTTGATTTTAATATATCAGGCTTTTAGAGTTTCTTAACTTAAAAGAGAAATTATAAAATAATTAATTTGATCTGTGCAAATTGTAACTTCTCTAAAATATTCTTGACTATAATATTTTGTATTTTGTAGCTCTTTCGTAGATTCTACAGTGAAGTGGAGAAACGTATTGATGACTTGAGAAATGTACTTGGAGAACAGCTGACTAGAATGCCTTCATCACTTGAACACCAAAAGAAAATAATAAGGTATGATTTGATGTGTTATGGAATGACAAATTTAATGGTAGCTAATCTCCATTCATATTAACACCACACTAGGACTGTCCTCTTTCAAAACTTGTTACTTTGCTCATTTTAGTACAGTATTTATGTTTGTGACTGAATTCCTGTATGTGGGTACACTGTTCACCAAAGAGGAAAATAGGAAAATTAAAAGTAAAGGTTGAGTAGTACAAGGAAGGAGTGGGTGGTTGATACCATTAAGTTATATTCTCTCTGGTATCATCTCAAAATAAGCTCTTCCTGAGAATTATATGAACTAACATATTTAGAAGACTATGATATTCTCCTTCTGTGGTATTTACAGAAATCTTCATCACTTGGAAACACCTGGTGATCCTGCCTGGCAGTGTCTCTCTGCCCAGCATGAATATATCCTTCATCTTCTTATATCTGCCCGTGATAATCACCTTAATCGGGAAATGGCAGATCATGACCTGGGGTCAGGGGGGGGCAAGATAAGTGGTGGTGGTGGTGCAGGAGGTGCCAGACATGCTACACCAGCTGCCAAGTATAACAAGATTATGATGTCTTCAGTTGGAGAGTGGCAGGTGCTGTATGTCGGTATTTTCACAATAATACAGTACTGTACTTGGTAATGGGAGGACTTGCTAAATTGTTAAATGTTTTTGAAAGAGGATATATTAGTGTGAAACGGTATAACTCTAGATTTATCATGTATGTTAAAAGGATAAGATGTTTCACATTACCCTTTACTGTACTGTACTGTTCTTGTTAATACTAGTTTTACATTTGACCTGTGACACTGGGGCCAAAAACTGAATTTTTCGCACTTCAGGTTATAGAACCATCAAATGGCCTTTTAGGTTTTTTTACAATTTTGAAAATCCGTTGGCTGGGGACTCACCCAAAATTTCCAGTGATTGTCTCAAAATTGGTTTCTGTCCATCCCAGAAATTATCTTAATTTTAGAGCTTCCAAACTTTAGAATTCTGAATTTGGGAGGCCTATCTGCATATGCCTAAGAATTTACACTTTCTAATTTTCTTAACAAAATATGAGAGGTTGTACAAAATTCTTAACCCTGTCTCCCCACAGGCCACAGCTCCTGTCCGTGTGTTGATGGTAGAGGAAATATGTGAAGTCTTGTCTACCAACTTCCCAGACATGTGGAAGTTAAGTCAGGCATATTTTGGTGGTGAGCTGTTGCCGCCCACAGCTCAAGTAGACCACTTTAAACATCCCAGGTGCAAGGTTTGTGTAATAAGTCTACTTGTGATTCACATGTAAATCATATCCCAGGGATCTTCCTCAATACCTTCAGTCAATCAAGAAAAACTGTTACAGATGTGAACATGTTTCGTCTTACCTGTTAGTTTCTTTGGTGACTTTCATACTGCAGTACAATGTTTAGTGTTTCACCACACATCTTGCAATATTGCTTTTTTTTCCACCTATTGGCAGGGAGCATGCCTTTTCCATGTATGCAGCTGTGAGTGTCTGTGTCCAGCCAGCTGTTCAGTCTTTTTTTTTTTTTTTATTGACTTTAGTGAGATAAATGTTATACTGTACAAACATTTTCTAGTGTTACTAAGATTTACTTCTATTTTTCTTTGTGTTCTTCAGCATTTATTATGCTGTATACAGTATGTTGAGACAATCCTACCGGTAATTCTTTTTCTACTTTCCTATCACATACTGTACAAGCGGTGCTCCTTCCCTTAAGTAATAATCGGGTATTTTGAATTTTCAGGACATGATTCTTGAACTGCTACATGTGTTCAGTGGTGTGATGCGGGGAGCTATAATGCCACTTTCTCTACACCCAGATGGTCAAAACTTCAGAAATTATCATGTTTGGCCAGAAGTTTCTTTAGACCAAATTACTCCTTGGTTACCACAGGTGAATATAAAGAAATAATAGGACTAGAATATACAAAAGATGTTGAATAAAGATAGGCCAAAGTTAGAGTATGTAATCCTCAGACAACTCCTAAGGAAAATATTTAAAAGTTTTTGTTACTTAAAACAATTATAAATTTTTAATAAAAAACACCTGGCATAATTGTTAATATAAAAGCTGTATTTATCATACTGTATTGTATTGTACAAAGTCCCAAAACCAGCAACCTTAGGACTCGGGTGCTGGTTAGGGATTTTTCCAGTATCAGCACAATACATATACTGTACTGATGTGAAAATCAAAGTGAAGGCTTAGGTTACCTTCTTGTAAACTAGCCTTTGTGCAATAAATGAGTTCAATATTGGATGTGCTTACTGATGATGGAACAATTCATTTGTAGACGAGTATACTGTACTGTACTGTCAAAAGGGATTTGTGTTACCCACCACCACTCCACCAGGTACTGAGCCATGATTGGTAAGTATAAGACGCTCAGCACCTGTTCCGCCACCTTGTACTATGACAGGAAGAGGCTTTTATTAAGGAGAAAATAAAAACTACAGTCCAGTATAATGTTTAATTAATTTTTTATTTTCTGTTTTTAGGTTCTGCGGCATGTACGGGGATGCCACAATACTCTGCTGACTCTAGATCTTCCTAATGATGCACTTGATGTTTTAAAAGATTTAATCTTTGATTTGAGGTGTGTCCAGTCTTATTCTCTCTTTATTTATCTGTCAGTCTCTTTGAGTTATCTATTACATTATATGTACTACAGTAATCTGTTTTATGTATCATCACCAGTTACCAGTTGGTATGTTCTTTGTTATGATCTTTATAGTCCAGTGTTAGTACAGGAGGAATCCAGAGTACCCGGAAGGACCCCTGGCATGTTTGATAGTCACTCTGGATACCACCCTTCTCGCATTTGTTCCAGGATTGAACCCAGCACACACAGCAGTGTGTTACTGCTCTACCACTATCACCCCAAATTGAGAACTGCCCAGACCCAGGGACCTTTAAATATGCAGTTTAATGCTTTCCCAAGTTTTGAGACACTTTGGCTCTGTTAATTCAACTTGAAATCCTTTTTATCTTTCTCACTCTTGTAAATACTTTTCTGTTACAATCTGTTGTCCTCTATCTGTCTGTCATTTTAGCTAAGTTAAAGAGTCATGTCATGGGACCACATGTTTTTTTCCTCATAACTTGGAAGTATTTTTCCACTTGCTCTTTGCATGTGTAATAACTCAACCAGTGCTTTCTTTTTAAATTTTTGTCCCATTATTGATTGCCTTTGAAATGGCCCAGTCTAGTTAATGCATTGCAAGGGTCTGTTAACTACAATACTACATATTATAAAAGTAACTTGGTAATGAAGATCATAGTCTATTGTTTTTATTTCAAAATGTGTTTTGTATTTTCCATTCTGTAGCATTTGTTAAATAGCATCGACAAAAATCTGCTTTATCAGAACTCACTGATGATAAGCATTAAAATGCAAATATTATCGAGTCTATAATATTTCAGAGTTCACTGCCTGACCTCGCTCTTTCAACAAACAGTTGAACACGTACGTAGCTTACATACACGAGAAAAGTGGCAGCTGGAAGTGGACGATGAAAATGGTGGATGTACTCATTTGGTGAGTTACTTTTACTCAATCACTTATTCTCAGTTACTGTTCTCATACAAGAAATGAGAGTGTCTCAATAACTTCATTCTATAATTCACTCGTAAAGAATAGGAATTGTTATTACTCTTTTGGCATTAGTGTAAAAATGCCTCTGAGAAAGTTACTGTAAAAACATTTAATTAGAATCAAGTAATCTAGTTTTTCAAGTTGTAGAAGTAACAGATCAAGTTACTGCCTTGTGAAAGAAGGAAGAAAGATCATGATAGTGAATGTGAGGTTAGCTTGTAATAGTTATGTACTATTCTTTAGATATATAGAATGCCATGAATGAAAAAATAGATATCTGTTGAGAAAATTAACATTAATTTGGTCAAAATTACTGTTAAGAAATGATAAAAAGAACTCAAGAATATGAGATGAATAAGAGTACAGTATAATAATCCCTTATTGATACACGATTCTGTACTTTAGTAAATTTACGAAATATTGTGAACTTTATTGTTATGACATGTAACTGTTAATTTGTTTATATTTGCAGCCACACATTTGTGAAAATGTAATTGTGGAGTGTGCACAGCTGGTACGAGAAACTGTTCTGGAGACAAGTCATCACGAGTCGCCACTGATAGATCACCCAACCGTCCGCCGAGACATTATGACCCTCATTCACAATGTTATTGTTGCCTTTGCTCAGGTGAGGTGCTTCATGTGTGTGCTCTTTATAGTCGATATTTTATTCTCATGACAGTGATATATTAGTTTTCTCTTTGTTAGCCATTAGGGGGAATGTACAGTCGGCCACAAGAATAAATATACACCTACGGTTCGTGTTTGAGACAAAATATCTGGTAACACTGTCCTGAACAGAACAGACAAAATTACAAAATGACCGGTAATTTATGATTTATTCCTACTTATATGTTATAAATACATATGTTGTGAATGTCTTACTAGTGTCTTGTGTTTATATTACAATTAATATACAGTCGGCCCTTAACATACGCGTGGGTTAGGTAACAGAGATACCCGTGAATGTTAAAAATACGTGTACTTTTGCTGCCCCCCCCCCCCCTAAAAAACCCCTGGGCCCCCATGTCCTTATTTACCGTATATACCTGTGTGTAGTTCGAGTTTTTAAGACCAAATTATTTTGCAAAAAATTGGGGGTCGACCTCTAAAAGGGTAATAGTTTTGTTAGGTTGAAAAATATTTACCAGTATGAGGGCCTGAGCTGCCACCATTTATGAGGGCTGCTACTGCCACCCTTCATGAGGGCCTGTGTGCCAGTAACACTTCCTTTTACTCTTATATATCACCATTGGTAGCGTGACGATAGGAGGCTCGTGGGTAGGTGTAATGATAGTATCAAGCAATAGGGAAGAAATAACGGTAGATACTGTAGGTAAATAATATACACAATTATACAGATACAAAGTTTATTTAAACATGAATATGAAATTAGAAGAAAAAATTGGTTTGTACTAACAGACGAAATCTATTACTAGGCCCTCAGGCTCAACATACTCACACCATTACTGGGTGGACATATTCAATACCCTTCCAACCCTACTGGGTGGACATGCTCAATAGCACAACTAGGATAGTCACTTAGCACCATACATATTAGAGCAACTGCCACTACAACACTCAGTCGTCAGGAGTGATACTCAAGCAACAGCCATGGGGTCCAGCCACCATGGAGTACTATCCGACGAACTCTGCAGATCCCAGTGGGTTAATTCCACCACACAAATATAGCCCTACTGAGGTAGACATTCATCCACCAATGATGGGGGCTGGTAGTGGTGTGTGGCTTGGTGGTCCCGGGTCACCTCGTGGACCGAGCGTTAGGCCCAGACGAGCCAGCTATGGGGGCTATAGGTGGTCTGAAGTGTCTGACGGCCGGGTCTCACGAAGGTAACTGATCCTACTGGACCTCGGACATGTCCCCAGACATAGTGGATACAACATCCACCCTACAGACACGGCCTAGGCTGCGTTAGGGACCTGTATGGATGAAGGGACGGGCACTTACTAACCGGTGACAACAACAACACGTTTCAGGGGACGTTAAAGACGTAAATATGACTTTACTCAGAGCATATCAACTACGTTACTGTAACACTTGCACAATCAACTATTAATTGGGTCAAATCACTTAAAGAAGGGCAAATTACAACACAGCGTGGAATGGCATACCTGTATGGATGAAGGGACGGGCACTTACTAACGGTTAAAATGCCCGCGTGCCCTCACTCAAACCAGACCAGGGAGTCCAGCTACTCCTATTCCAATGAATTAATTTACGGTACCCTCTGACGTTGAAATTGAGACTATGAACTCATTTTCATTCTCTACTATTATCTTCACTAACAATGCTCTGACTCAGCTATCGAAAGCAGAATTAAATTGATTACAAAGGAATGGATGGCAACAGGTCCCAGCATACAGCGTCTGCTCCCATAGACAAAGGCGGGGGAAACAGAGAAAACGGGGGACGTTTCCACTGGGGGACTCAGAAGGTTTTGTGGACGTTTGAGCGTAATATGAATCCTTAAGGTTTTCAGGTTAGCTCTTATCATGACCATTACAAAGCTTCCTCCTTCCCCAAGATTCATCATTATGCGGTAACGTTCAGAAAACACGTAAGTAGTGACATACATATTAAATCATTAATATAAAGTATAAATCCTCATACAAAACATTGCCCAAATTATATCAATAAAAATAGAAAAATAATTCCCTACCGGTGGTCAGGATTAGGTACAAGAAATGGAAATCTGTTAACATACAATTAGAATGGGACACACCTTCATAAAAAATATATTGGGATACATATTACAAAATAGCACCAAAAATAATAGCACATGGGGTTAGGTACATCATGTCATAATAATACTGAATGGCGGTAAATACATCATATCATATAATAATAAATGGTGTTACATACATCATATCATATAATAATAAATGGGGTCAAGTACATCATCATAGAATAATAATGATTTGAGGTAGATACCTCATATCCAATAATAATAATAATAAATGGTGTTACATGTTACAAAATACACCCTCACATCGGTAGATAAAATGCACACTCAAAATTCCTTACAGAACTCAAATTTCAATGTTCATAGATTATGAAAGTTTCTTTTACGCGATTGGTCAAATGCTGACAGGACACACTGAGATTTAACATAGATTTCTCAAGCTAGGACATAGACGAACGGACCCCATCAAGTCAAAGGAATGATTTGTTGCCCTTAATCTTAAGAGTTATGTCGCACTCGCGAGAGGCAGCACCCTTCAAGGGACTCCGAACGAGCGGGTATTCCCAAGAATTCAATGCTAACGAAACGGTCCTCATGAGAACACCACCAAACCAAAAACTGTCTGTACTTATGGCATTTGCCATGTAGAAGTAATAGCACCATATTTATATGCCCGAATACTCCCTGAAAGTCACGAACTCTACACCTATATACCAACAACACCCAGCCTACGTAGGACTTACCAACCAGAACTTGAGAATTCACCACTGGTATCTTTACTCATACTAGTAACAGATACCCTTCAGATGATTGCATAACTGCCAATACATCTTCCAATCTCTGTCTTTACTGCAAATTGACCCTTCCTCTGCAAAATACTTTTAATAAAAAAAAATCATCAGTTCTTTACCTATCTCTTTTCCACAGTTACTTATAACTGATTGTGCACTTCATTATCAACCAATGGGGGTCACTTAAAAGCTCACTGCTTTTAAAGATCCAGTCTCACCACTGGTTTTCTCATCCTTACGGGAAATCGGGGAGCAGGAGCAACTACTGTTCTCTCCTCATCCCGTATAGCATCTCTCTCATCAGGCTCTGATTCTGAGGAAGAATCATTAGGGGGAACCTGGATGTCACTTACATGGACAAACATATCTCTGTTGATACATCTTTTCACCTTTTCTGCGGCTCGTCGAATTACTTCTGTCTCATCTGAAAGGTGGGTTAACTCATACGCTGCACCATTACGTATTACTTCAGTTACTGTATATGGGCCCTTCCACTTAGCATTTAATTTTCTACTGGTACCTGGGATAGTAACTTCATCTCTCACCCAAACAGTTTCCCCTAACTGTACTGTCTGATTGACTCTATCTCGGTTTGCTACGTTCCGGAATTCTCTAGACATTCGTTCAGAAGTTTCTTTAATTACTTTGTGAGCTTCTCTCAACCCTTCAGTACTCTCATTTTCTATTATTGGTAACTCAATTCCCACTTGCCTCTGTGCGTGCCGGGAGAAGAATGCGAAGTGTGGCTGCACTCTAACACATATCTCTGGTTGTTGGTTGAAACTTTTATGCGTGAATCGTATGCTCAGAATTTGACCTATCTCTACTTTCACCTTGATGGATAAGATCGGTGCATGGTGGCCTCGTACAATAGTCTTCCTATCAATATGGAGACTCTTCAACTGTGGTGGACAAGGTACATCGGGCTTTAATGACAATCTATTGACGCATTTGATTCCTTGCATGTGATCTCTCATTACTACTTTCCCATATTCATGTGACTGGCCTGCCCAAATGAAAAGTTTCCTTTTACGTTCCCAGGTTACTCTAAATCTACCAAGGAGATCTGCTCCGAATAGCAATTCTGCATTAAAGTACTTATCATCCACCACAATAGCATGGTGTCTGACTTGCAACTGGGGGGTTACTTGTACTGTTATGACTACTTTACCTTTAATTTTTAGCTCATCTCCCGTAACACCCTGGTATCTATCTTTACAAGGTTTGATGGGTTGCAAATTCAAAGTTTTTACTAGGCTCTCCTGAATTAAGGTGGCTTCACTACCTGTATCTATTAAAGCAAGACAGACACGTTCATTTACAGTAAACCAAATGCAAGGAGACACATTGGAAGGAACCCGCTTATGTCAATATTTTGGATAGTGCCGACGGTTGGCGCGTCCAGGGCAGCGTTGACTGTTTCTCCGACATCCTACTTCCAAGCAATCCCAACATGAACGTGGGGGTGGATTTAAGGGGCAAGTAGAAGTATCATGATTCGGTGTTCGGCAATATGGACAGTAAGGTCCCTGTCGCTTTCCAACTAACCTTTTACGAGGACTTTCAAATAAGGCTACCGCGTGTTGATCTCGCTTACTACTGGTACCCCAAGCTCCTCCTGTTACGTTACCTTCGGCCCGACTGGCTCTTTCACTTATGGGAAGTTCTTGGGTCGCATGCTTGTGAACTGGGCGGATACCAGGATACCCAGTTCTGTTACTTCGCAGATAGATATGTCGGAGTTTCTCCAATTGTTCGGCCATCGTGTCTACTGGACAACAAGGGGAATAATAGGATATCAACTCCTCTTTCAACTGTTCTGGCAGTTTCTGGTACAATTTATCTTTCAAAGTTTGTTCTTCACCTTCCCTGGGCCCATACCGGCGGAAAATGGTTGTGAGAACTGATTTAACTTGGCCCAAAAAGCGCCGGGGATCATCTTCCAAATGGTACTCTAACCTCGCAAATTCCTGCCAGGCAACTTCCAGAGGGATTGGTTTCACAAACAACTTCCGCAAGGTGGCTTTAAGTTTATCCCAATTTTCCTCATCGGTGCCGAGTTCTACTTGGACCATGTCTTCAATCTGCTGGTCCATGCGGTCGGTAGCTACATACCATCTATCCCGTGAGCT